TACATATATAAGGTGTGTTTTAAACTTTTTAAAACTTTAAGGTTTATATATAAATTTCGAAAAATTAAACTATTAATTTGAATTTAAAATAAACCAAATAACTAGATTTAATAATTATCTATTAATTAACTTTTAATTAATCTATTAAATCTTGTAAGGATTATCTAATCAAATTAAACAATTAATTTAATCATAATCCTTATCCCTCTAGATTTCGAAAATTAGGGTAAAGGATAATTTCCTTATTTTTCTCAATTATCCAATTAGGCAATAATTATCCAATCAAGTAATAATTATCCAAAATAAGATAAAACCCTAAAATAACAAGCAAATTTCGAAATTCAAGGGAGGAGGCTAGGGTTTTCCAAAACCCTAACCCTAATTTCGATTAGGGTTCATGGAGGCTAGGATTTTTCGAAAAACCCTTTGAACCAAAAAACCCTAAAAACGAAAATTTTGGCCTTTAGGGTTTAATGGCTATAAACCCTAATTTGCAATTCAACTATTATAGCAATTCAATTTAAAACAAACAATGGCTCTGATACCACAGATGGGTTTTAGGTAAAACAAATAAACTAGAAAAACAATTCCTAAGTTCACATGCAACCTACTTTGGATCTATGTTTTAACTATTGAACATATAACTTTGAATTGCAAACAAGAACCCTAGAGGAGAGAGGCTAATTTCGAAATTAACAAACTAGGGTTTCAGAATTACATACCTTTCAATTGTTATAGCAAACAATTGTTAATCCTCTTGAACTTGATCTTCTTGGAAGCCTAGCACCATAAATGTAATGCCTCTAATGGAATCACACCCAAGAACTAGCAAGAAGGAAACTTGAAGGAAAGAGAGGCTAGGGTATGCAAAATTCGGCCTATGGTTTCTTCCAAGGTAGGTGTGGCCGAATTTAGGAGCTGGGAGACTCCTTATATAGCTGAGGGATCTAGGGTTTAGGGAAAACCCTAATACTCCTTTGCTTGGGGCCTAAGCTAATCCAAAGGCCTTATCCAAAGCCCCTTGGACGAAATCCTTAGGGTTTCCCCTATAGATTTCGTCCACCTCCTTCCAAGGAGGTTCTGGAGCCTTCCACTCAACTATTAGATAATTGCAAACTAGTCCCTACACTTTATAATTAATACTTTTAACCCCAAAATTAATTCTGATTAATTTCTGGCTAACTATTAATTAAACATAATGATTTCTAATTAATATATTAATCTTTTAACATATTAATAAATCATTTATATTAATTTATTAATCTTATAAATTAATATCTCTCCTTTCATAATTTCCTTGTCCAGTTGCTAGGTTGAGGGCAACCCAAAAGGACTGTGCTGCTATCAATTCAAGTACATACCAATTATAGTTATGGGCTTAGACACCTAATCCAACAGTGTGTTGTTTAGCAGATTTTGGAAGGTATCATTATGAGGGAGTGACTTAGAGGATTCAGGATGATTCTGAGGAAAGTACGGATATGTGTGGAAGGTACTATTGCGCTCGTACTACTGGAAGCACAGGATCTGTACTTGAATCAAGAAAAGTCCTAGGAAATTCTAAGGATCTGGTTGAGGGTAAGAACATGGTTTGGCACCATGAATCCGTTATAGCATTTTGGGTATTATCAACTTTTCGGTTATCGTTGTCCGAGAAGAACACGGGTCGGGTGATTGTTTGGGCCTAAGTGGCCATGTCAGCTGGGGTTGAATGGTGCAAACCTAGATGAGTAGGTTATTTCAAGGTCTTGGGGGCCTTACTTGAGGGAGTGTCATTCGTAGTCGCGAGACTCAAGAAGGGAACGATTGGGATGAATGGCTTGAGGATTGCAGTCTTGAGGTTGAGTGATCGGTCGAGGGCTAATGATGTCATTTTCTATGACGAGGATTTTTTACTTCCAGTTTTTTGTGTTGGGGGGGGGGGGGGGGGGGGGGGGGAGAGAGAGAGAACGCGCATATGATTTCAGATATTGGAGGACGACCTAGTGGGGGAAACCAGATGGTAGCGGTATCTGCGACAAAGGTGGAAATGCACGAGAGGATTCTTGTGGTTTGATAGCCTCGAGAAAATTTCATGTGTGGAACGAGAGTCATTTTCATGGAGACTGTACAAGATGAGGACCAAGGGTATGCTTTCCTTGAGTTCAGTTAGAGCGTGTTCTGGCAGGTTGTTCCAGGTGATTAGGAGAAGTGAATCGGGAACGATAACTTTCGTTGTCTATTTTACATCTCGACTATCGTTGGTCTGTCAATCAACTTCAGAATTCGGTATGTGTAGTTCCACATGGGTTTGTTCAGTAGAAAATTGGATTGTTGGGTAGTTACCATTGCATCCTCGATCGTTGAATGTTCTCTTTTATCGTTAATGGGTGGGACTGCTTCGAAGGTTTTGAGTTGTATAATTGGAGGTCAGTGATTGTGCTAACTTATCGTCATGTTCTGTTTATGGTATATCATGGCTTCTGGATACATTGCCCTAAATTGTTGGATTGTTAAATTATGGTCTATAGTAGACTCGGGTTTGTTTCGGTAGTAGGTAGAACATTGAAGTGATTATCCATCTGTTCCAATTGTGGGTCCTTTGGGCTCCTTGTCGTCAGTTGGGATTGTAGAAGGATATGGAATTGTATCAAGGGAAGGTACTTTGGATATGATAATCTTTGTCGAGAGTAGTAAAGTGCTTCATTTGGTTTGGGGTGTGAGCACCCGATAGCGTTTGGTCATGGGATCTTAGTTCAGTAAGATCAGTATGGTAGTGGTTGGATAAGGAGAGTGTAGGATGGCTTAGTAATCCAATGATCACAAGTTTATCAGAATGTAGATGAATCCAAGTGAAGGATGGTCACTTGGGACCTCCGGAGGATAGTTCCAAGTGCAAGGTATTTTAGAAGTTGTACCCATGTCAGGGATTTGGATTGGTATATCTGGAGGGAGCGCCAAGGTTCCTTGAGGTTAGGAAGATTCCAAGATATGTTAGGACCGTGAGTGTGGAGCAGACTCCCTTTTGGCTGGCGAGGCCTTGAACGGCTAATCGGGCGGTGCGAATAAGATATTGTTTGATTAAGGATTAACTGGGAATGCCGATTAACATGGTATCATCCTAAGTCAACTAGGGAGCCAATTCTGGTTGCGAGAGGGTTCAAGGTTAAGCAAGGAATAGTGTTCTTTGGTCAGCGATGAGCATCGGAACAAATGATATGGATTCATGGCTAGGTTGAGGTCGAGGGTTGTGTTAGGACCTCTTTGTATGTTCTTGTCTGATGAAGGCTTTGGGGTCGGAAGCACGACCCGAACACCTGATAGAGTCCGGTAGGTGGGGTTTTGACTCGTAGTGTTTTCTTTGGTTAATGTACGGTTTTGGGAGTGATGTAAGACTGCGGAGCAGCCATATCATTCACCAGGTTAGTGTGCGGTAGGAGTGATGTAAGACTGCGGAGCAGCCGTACAAAATCAATATAAATACATAGAAAAAAATACTTTAAGATATCTATTTTTTTTTTTTTGACTTTATAGGGCTAAAAATCGTTGGTTTTGGGACACGTTCGTTGAAAAAAAATTATAAAAAAAATAATTTTTTTTCAACAATTTTATATAAAAAAAGTAGCGATTTTAATTTGTAAAGTCAAAAAAAAAGATTAGATATCTCAAAGTATTTTTTTATATATTTTTAGGGTTTTTAAAATTTATTTTAGGTTTATGCATTTTCTGTTGATTTTTTAATATATATATATATATATCAATATATATATATATATATATATATATATATATATATATATATATATATATATATATATATGGAAAAAGTTCAATAGAAAACCATAATTATTGGTTCTCTAAGGAACCAATTTTTTTTCAAGTGTAGAGCTTATTCTTTATAGAATAAAAAAACTAAAAATTTCTAAATTCATAACTTAACATTGTGAATGTTAAATATATTTTTCGGATTCACCGTATGAATTTAGATCCACATTGTGAATTTAAATTCACATTGTGAATTTGAAGAAATTTTTTTTTATCGAATTTGATATCATTGGAAAATGATAAAAAGTTATGAATTTCTGTATTTTTTTGTTTTTTTTTTTTTTTTTTTTTGATAAAAAAAAGTTGAAAAAAGTTGAAAAAAAATTTGGTTCCTTGGTTTTTTTGGTTAATTATGGTTTTTTATTGAACCTTACCATATATATATATATATATATATTATATATATATATATATATATATATATATATAACTGTTTTTGTAACACTTGATTTTTAAAATGTAAGTTGTGTTATGAGTACTAACTTTATATGAATCGCACCATATACGATAGATATTAATAGCTAAAACATTTTTATATATCATCTTGTTCATTGAATAGACAATTTATATATGTAGGTGACAATAATTCTCAATACGAATCGCGACATGATACTAACCCGACATGAAAATAAACTGGTTTGGATTAAGCTTTTTTAACAAGCTAACATACCAAACCGCAATCTACCAACCCGTTTATTATACGGGTCATGTTCGGATGTGCAAATAATCCACGAGTTAACACGTGAACATGTTTATTTTATTAGATTAGGAAAATAAAATATTTATTAATTAAATAAATTAGAGGGAGTAAGGATTGATAAGTAACATGTGATATTTAGACATTTTTCCATGACTCACGAACCTGATTATGACCAATAATCTGAATCTGACTCACGAGCCCGAATCTAACTCATGACCTACGAACCTATAAAACTAAACATATTACGCAGGCTAATCCAAGTTAGAGTTGAGCAAGTACCTTTTGGCCATAAACTTTTCTAAATGATAACTAGAAAATAAAGAAAATACAAATGCTTTATATAAAAATGTCATGTTTTACCTTCCCTTATCAAATATTTTTATTAATACGGAACTTATTCACCTTCTATTCTTTTTTTTTTAATTTACATATGTTTTTTTATAATTCAACCATTGGCCAAGGAGAACTAATCCAATAACATTTGATGTAGCTTACCCATCATATAAGTATCAAATATGAAATAACTATTCCAAATTACCATGTTATATAAATTATATACATTGTTTATGCCCATTTGGCTAGCAGAGACATAAGTCCTGCACCAAGAAGAAGAGAAATATAGGAACCAAATAGAAGGATCTTGTTGTTTTGCATCTTATGATTCTTAAAATCGGGTGAAAGAAGGTCAACAAGTGCCATGTAGATTAAGATTCCGGCCGCTGCTGCCATTAATACGCCTTCCACGATAAGAGCAGTGGCACTGTTTTCGTTATACGTGTTGCTTACCAATATTCCCATCACAATTCCACTTGGAGTCGTAAGGGCAAAACACACTGCCATAACTGTGGTAGCCAATGACTTAATTTTTGCCTACAAAAATTAAGCATACTATTTAGGTTTTTCATTTATTGATCAGTTTTTTCCTAGTGAAAACAGTATGAAAATCACATGTCTTTATTTTAGGATTTTTTTTTTCTTTTTAAGTAAATATAACGGTTAAATTTCTACAAAATAACAAATATACTTATTTAAAACTCAATTCTCTTTAGTAAAAATTGAATCCATACCTGAAATAAGCATCCACCAAGACCTACTCCTTCAAAGAATTGGTGGAAGGACAACGCGGCAAGAAGCGGTTTTATGGTTTTTAGGTTTTTAGAAGCACCCAAAGATAATCCTATAACTATGGAATGAATGATGATTCCGAGCTCCAACACCTAAAAATTAAAAGACAAGAACAATTATTGTTTCATATTTGACATTTTATCGTAAAACAAGAACTTCTAATGTGAGTCTCTAATTGCTCATATGTGTACTACTCAAGTTCTAACAAGAAATTAAGGTATGTGCATTGTGAGCTATCTTTATTCTTTCGGTAATGTTATGGTTCTATGAACATATACAATGTTATGGTTCGTATGGACCTCAGTATATAACGTTTCAATAATCTTTGAAAGGTTAATATATAAATCTAGCTTAATTTCTTCATTTGTAATTTAACATATATTTAAGGCTACTTTACATTTTCTGACTAATAATTACATTTTATTATTTGTTATTGAATATACTTTTATTCAGTGAAGAATTGTAAATTTTTGTTACAAGAAAATCGAAAACAATACCTTAAAACGAAATGCATTAATTTTAATTAGTATAAGAGGCATGCTATTATAACGTTCTATATTAAAGAAAATTCTATGCAATCTTATTTCGCATACATGAAACATGCTATACCGGAATTACGAAATGAGGGGCTTCAGTTATGTTTGGATTTCCAGAATTTTAGTAGAAATAGCAAGCTAGAAATCACTAGAAAAAGTTCTCACACATCATCAACAATAATTCTCCAGCGGTGTTGTTGCAGGGGAAGCGGAGGTAACCGACAAAGAATGGTGAAACGTTCTCCGACATTTTGGTAGGAGGGGCAAGGGGAAAGATAACTCACTTGTGGTGGATGACAACGATATTGTGAGGGCAACAACGAGCTTAAAGTTACGATGAAAGAGAAATGCTAGAGAATATTTGGGGACCACTATATTTATTTGTTTAAAATTTAAAATAAAAAGTAATTAATAGGTACATAATAAGTTAAAATATAGAACACACATTATGCGCACCTTTACCATTTATTTTTTTAGTATCAGTTTTTCAATCATTTACTTTTCAAATTCAAAACTCAGAAAATGATCATCTTTCATTATCATTTATTATTAATTTTTTCTTTAAAAGTATTTTTTGTACATACTAATTGGAATTAAAAACCATAAATTATATATATATATATATATATATATATATATATATATATATATATATATATATCACTGTTGTAAAAATCTTGACTATGTCCCGATTAATTCATAGGTGCTACTTGACCGACTAGATTGCGTCTATCAGTTGATCCATACATACATAATGAGTGAAACAATATAAAATGATGAAATTTTAACACTTTGAAAAAAATTTATCTCAATAGAAACTATTTTAGGTATGATTGGTGTTGTATTAATCATGTTAACTTATTTTGTTATGATATTAGTGGTATTTACGAACTTTGATATGATATTAGTCATATTTAATTTTTTAAAATTCAACAAATTGGCAACTAATGGTCTCCGATTAATCTCGTCTAACCGATTAATCTCATAACCTCAGTCCACCGACTAGTTAACGCCGAACGTTTTTTACAACCTTGATATATATATATATATATATATATATATATATATATAGATATATATATATATATATATATATATATATATATATATAAAAGCTAAAAACAATAAATAAAATACAAAAATAAAGTTAGCCAATCACATGAGAAGAGAGAGGGCGGAGTACCTTCCCCTCATCCTTTACCCACACTACCTAAGCCGTAGCCCTGGTGTTCTGTTCCGGGGTATGGTTCCCTCCCCCACACAGCATCCCCATTACACACTGTTCCGCGTTACAAATTTGATCTTGGTGGTTTAGACAAATCTTCACTTTTACTAAAATTTTGGATTTTTAGAATTATTTGTCGGTTTTCAAAAGTTACAATAGTGGTTCTTAAGGTTGCTATCCTCTAAGAGGCTCTATTAAAACCCAAAGAAATGATGAAATTACCCTTTTATCTGTCCTTGTCTTATATTCTTATTCCTTTTATTTTGTTTTTATTTTTAAATGAAAGCACCATGAGTCATTACCACCATCACTAATATCACCCACTACCATCACCAATCTCCAATCAACACCAACACTACCACCATCACCATCCTTAATCAACACCAATCCCACCACCAATCACCACCATCTTTATGTCTCCCATTCCCCACTAATATCCTAAAAACTCTCCATCCTATCAATAGTCTTTGAGGAGTGCAACTGCAACTCGTCTCCGTCTACTACAACTCCAACAATGAATTTTTAAGGCCTCACTCCCTCCCACTTTTCCCATTGTTATAGTTAGAGTAATTGGTATGGGCAATGCTAACTCCCGTTTTTGTGACATGGACATCGGAAAACGGTGTGGTAACGGTCGCACACCGCCCCACCTTTGCTGTTGGAAGTCGTTGTGTTGCCTCCCTTTGCTGCAATAACGAATTGTAACGCCAAAAAATCGATTAAAATGGTCACTTGACTGTTGTTGAACGGTCACAAATGTAATATATATATATATATATATATATATATATATATAGATATATATATATAGATATATATAATATATATATATATATATTATATATCTATATATTCAAATTTCCTCACATATAAATATAAACATACACTCATTTTTTACCAACACCATTCTTCTCTTTCTCTCATCTTATTATTAAACAAAAATCAACCACTTTCTCATTTAACCAAATACGGAGCAAAACCCGAACACCCCTCTTCCAAACACAAACACTTCCGCTCTGCTCGGTTTCGCGCCATATGAGAGCTATGCGAACCTCCACAACGTTCAATACTCACCACAAATATCATTTTCAGTAAACTTTTTCAATCCCGCCTCACCCTCAATGTAATTTCCTACATCAGCCTACTTGCAACAAAACCTTTTCAACACTTTAGCTTCCATGCCACAAACAACCACACAACCACCACCCACACAAGAAACGATTGCCGAAACGCAAGAAGGAGGTAATCTGAAACCTAAAAGGAGAGGAAAAAAATAAAAGGAAAGCGATCACTGAAACTGAAGAAGAAGCATCTCCACTATGGTGGACACCATAGTGGCATTTCACAATACTGATATAAAGAGAGTTGGTTTTTGGGACATGGGGCGGGACTTCAAAAAATCCAACTATAGGAAACGATATAAAGAGAATTGGTTTTTGGGAAGTTGTGCTCGGAAAATTTCGTAAAATTTTGAAGAAAGACTGGCATATCTCAATACTAATATGCTTAGTAGCGAGTGGACTCCAATTAGTCGGTAGTACACCAAGTTTAATGGGATCTACAACAAACTTTCTTCACAAAAAGAAAATGATGTGAATGATTTCGATGTGTTCAAAATCACGAGGGAGCAATATCACGTCGAAATGGGTCATGTTTTCGAGTACGACAAAAACTTGGGAAATGGTGAGAAACGATCCAAAATGGCTTAAAACGCCAAAATTGTCGTAGGTATAATCGAAGAGGTCGCGTGGTTTGAGTTCGTTTGACGTTTCCGACGCACGAACTAACTTCGATCTTAATGCCAACACAAATGACATCCATGATGACATCGAAGAGATCTCTCCCTCCCCCACGTCGATCGTTGGGCGTGTCAAAGCAAAGCGTGCTCAACGACATGCGGACGAAGCCGATAGAAGGGTACAAGAGTTGGTGGAAATGAAAGAAAAGTTCGACCAACACAATCTAATCGTACAACAAAATGTTTGCCACGTGATCACTTGGAGTTCCTACGTAAGCAAGCAGAAGAAAATCAAATCATGAGGGATTTAGCAATTCCTCAGACTAGCGAAGAAAATTTGAGACGACCACAGGCGCAAGTGCTCCGAAAGATGAATGAGACAATCGAGAATAAATATTTGGATGACTAGTGTATCGTTTTTATGTTTTTAGGATGGTTGTCAAAATCGCAATCCTGAGTAGGATCATACGATCCTATGATCCTAGATATGAAAAACGAGCTGGATCGTAAACATATCGTATTTTTGGTAGGATCGTGATTCGATCCGATCCTACCTTCCTTTGAGTGTTTTTTTTTTCAAATGAAATTTTTCTTACCACTTTATGTTTTTATCCTTTACCAATTTAGCATTTAACATTTTGTGTTGTGGCTTACAACTAATATTTTGAAGTTTTTATAACTTTTGGACAAAAATTTAAATGTTTGAAATATTTTTCATGTTTTAAATTATAAATTAAGATTATGTTTTATTTTGTGGGATCTCAGTATCCCGATACTGATCTTGCAAACCCAAAAACGATCCTAGTAGGATCCCGATCTTGATAACTTTGGTTTTTAGGACTATTTTTTTCTTTGCGTTCAATGTTTGTTTTTTGTTTTTAAATGTTATGGTTAATTTATGATTTAATTGAAATTGCATTTTTTTTTGTAAATAATTTAACGTGAATAAAAAACAAATTGGAAAAATAAAAATTGAAAAAAAAAAGAAAAAGGAAATGATGAAATGGAAAATAAAGAATATTATAATATTTATATAACATGTTGTCCATTTACTCCGATTGATATTGTAACACTATAATTACATGACATGTGAGGTGACACATATTAATATCGATTGATATTGTAACACTATAAGCACATATTAATACGTTGTTAACATCCACCAACCTTAAAGAATAACATCATCAACGACACCATTAATTAGATTTGCTTTCAACTTTTGGCATCCAAATACACATCAATTTTGAAAACTCATGTGGTAGAGGTAGGGATAGGATAGGAGAGGCGTATACGACAAACAGCAGGGAGAGTGATATTAGTCGAATGTCCCACGGGTTTGTTGTCCTTTAAGGCTATAAGAAATTACAAATTTATCCCCATTACTTTATCAAAGTTGTTTTTTAAAAAATTGTTCAAGGGTAATTTAAGCGTTTTACACTCATTTAATGGAGACTCATTTACCGTACAACAATGCTAACTTTTGGAAACCAAAAGGACAAGCTGTGTCAAAAATTAAAAAATTAGACTAACAATTCATACTGATATAAACCACATGGACTGTAATTTACTCTAATAAGTACAACCACCTCATAAAGATTTGAGTAAGTTATAGTTTTGATCCCTGTGGTTTGGTGATATTCGTATTTTCAGTCCAACATTTGAAAATTTGACAGGGTGCAACCTTGTGATTTAAAAAAGTTGCATTGCACATCCTCAGTCCATTTAAAAAGATAATTTTACCCTTATTTTTATATTTTTATTTTTCTTATATATATATATATATATATATATATATATATTATATATATATATATATATATATAATTGTTTAATTTTTTATATTTTGCTGTTGACATTTTATTTTATTTATTATATTTTTTATGATTTATATTTTATTGAAATTTTATTCAAAAATAATTTTTATTTTTTTTATATTTTGTTAGTTTATATTTTTTGCCGTTTTTTTGAATAATTTTTCTAGTGATATTTTGTTCGAATATTTTTTTTAATGTTTTTTTGATCTTTTGTTTTTTTATATTTTTGTAAAGCTTTTTATAAATATTTTTTGTATAAAAAATATAAAAAGGTTTGTTAAATGTGAATATAATTAACACATATTAAGTATAAAATTATTTATTTTAATATGGTTATTGTATAGGCTGCAGAGACGGATCCACATTAGATACCGGTGTATCCCGTGATACCCCTAAAAAAAATTTCAGTATTGTAATTGTTTTAGAAAAATTTCGTTTTATGCAGTGTATATATACATAATATTAATATGTTTAGCGAGATAATAACACAAGTTGTTGTTGGTTTAGATGGTTAAGGCGTTAGGGAGTGTTTCTAGAGGTTGAACGTTTAAATCTTCTTTCAAACATTTTTTTTTAGTTTTCGCAGCTCCTTTTATAAAGCTTTATACGGATTATACCTATTATATTAGGATGTATCTTGTCAAATTTTCAAAGATTGGATGAAAGTGCGAATCTGACAAAACCACAGGGACCAAAACTGTATTTAGTCTAAATATTTTTTCAAAACACAAGGCTGTGGTTAGAAACGTTTCTTTTTAATTTTTGTCTTTATTTCCAATGTTCGCCGATAACAATGATTGATGTACGAAATCTTATAAATAAGATATAATTAAAAAAATAATATTAGTATTCATTTATTAACCTGTCACGTAGGTCCTATAACGAAATAACGTGAATGTTGTCAGATGTGAGGTTTGCTATTTTTTTTTCCAACTTTTATACCGATCTTATTCTTTGAGACGTTAATTTTAATAGGACAACTATCAAACATTTGAACTTGTGAAAATGACCCTCTATTATATAATCTATATTAATTTTTTTTTATTAATTATAATTATAATTGTAAAGCGGAAACTAAACTACCTTTGACCTTTCCCAACAAATCACCCAGATTCCCATCCGACACATACAAACCCGCCATTACCTTCCCTCATCTTTAGGGGTGGGAATCGATTCGGTTTATGAGTTCTTCTGTTTCCTTGAATCGGTTTTTTCCCTTCAGACCAAACCAAATATCAAATTTTATTTCGGAATGGTTCAATTTGAAAACCAAGAAACCCAAATATTTTTTTATGTTCCAAACATAATTTGCAAAGTTTCTAACTTAAAAAGCTAACAAATATTATTTTATGTTCCAAACATAATTTGCATAGTTTCTAACATAAAAAGCTATAGTTCTAAACATAAAAGATCTAAAGTTTCTAAGATTGAAAGGTGAAATTGAAAATGAAAAGTGAAGTGTGCGTATGAGTTAGAAATTTATGAGGATTACGAGCCTTGAATACTGAATAGTGAAAACCCTAAATTGGTACAATGGTTGAAATGTCTTTTATCTAATATTTTTAGTTATTATAAAAAATATAAAACAAAATATTTAATTAATTAATTAATGAAATTCGAATTTTCGGTTCGATTTGCTCTAAAGCTTATGAGACTTCAAAATTTAGGTTGGACTTAAACCAAACCAAAAATTGAATTTAAATATGGTTTGATATGAAATCAATTTCAGTTCCATTTGATTTTCGGGTTTTCCAACTCCAAACCAAATAAGACCCCTCATTGTGTACGCTATCGCGCAATGCAGTATATAAGGTGGCATCGTAGTGTGCTGTAAACACCATGCCGACCCCCCAAAAAAATATCAAGTATACATGTCTTACGTCATCGATTCACCGCACCCTCCCTTTTGAATTTCGACCGTTTGTAGTCGTTGGGAAATGGCTAGATGTTGATTTTTTTTCAAAAGCCACTAAAAATACATTACTTTCTATTATATTTTTCACAAACAACTATTCTCAATTCATATCATCTTTGAAAGGTTTTTGCATTCCAAATGTGAATCCAAACAACCCTCAATTTACAACTCGTAGCAAATCGCATCCAATGTTCGTCCGTTGGGGTCGTCGGTTTACCAACCGCAAACGGATATGTCTACGCTTTTGCCCTAACCTTAACATTTTTATTACCAACAAATATCACAACAATTTTACATGATGCAACCTCTTAGCCCAACCACGTTTCAACCCCCCCCCCCTCCCCAAATACGCTCCCTCACCAGAAATTGATTTTGTCCGGGAAACCCAACATGATCCTGAACCGGTACCCGACCCCAAACCCCAAATAGTTTAGGAAACCCACCTCAAACCATCCAACTCCAAAAGACGAGAAAAAGGAAAAGCATCTGCTCGAAAAGAAAAGGTGGAGCCTCAACAATGACAACTAGATGAAGAGATGGTTTTAGTGAAATCGTTGGTCGATATTTCGGAGGATTCCAAAATAGGTAACGCGTAAAAACATGACCATTTTAGGCGACACATTAAAGAGCGATTTCTTATGGTGATGGGTTGTGGCGAGTACCGCGCAGATCAATGTACTAGCAAGTTTCGTGAGATAAACAAATATGTCACAAAATTCAATGACATTTACAACAATTTGGTAGCTTAACGGAAAAGCGGGGAAGACGATGAACAAATTTTAGAGACAACCCTTAAATTTTTCTAATTGATAATAATAAAAAGTCGTTCAAGTTTCTTGATATTTGGAGGTTTTTATTAAAGTCCCTAAAATGGATAGACGATTTTGGTAGCGAAGGAGGTGGTTCAAAACGAACCAAAGTTTTGAGACGAGTTACACTACTTCATCGGATGAGCATTTTGGGGTTGATTTGAACGAAGTGGATGAGCTCGAGATTGAATAGGTAGTTTGACCGATGGGTTGATATAAAGCGAAAAATAGAGTATCATCGTCGAATACACCGGGAACAAGGAGAGGAGATGAAATACATAGGGTTGCTAGTAATTTGGAAATTTATAATTTGAATTTTTAAAGTTGTTTTAGTTTTGAAAAAGAGAAGTTGGAAGAGAAAAAGAAAGCCAAAGAGGAGAAACAACGAGCTCGAGAAAAGAAGCAAAGAAGTGGAGATATAAAATTTTTAACAAAACCGTTTCATCACCTTACTGAAAACGGATTCGATATAGTCTTGAGGGCTGGAACGGGCATAATGAAAAAATATTATAACTAGTGTTTTTATCTAAAAATTGTCACTTTTATGTTGTTTTTTTTATTTATTTGCTGATTTTAGATATGTAATCGTTTTAATTAAATTAATGAAGTGTTTTTTTCGTTAAATTATATTTTATTCAATTTAAAAAAAATATATGATAAAATATTATATGAGACGGAAGTAAAAATGAAATGACATATAAGACATTACAAAAATATGATATATACGACATTACAAAAATCTGATATATACGACATTACATCGATTTTCTGAGACGGAAGAAAAAATGAAATGACATATACGACATTACAAAAATATGATATACATAATATGACACACACCACCAACTTAATTCTCACCCTACCCCTCGTCGTCTTCACTGTCTCCCAATTCGTATCTCTTATTTTCTTTCTTACTCCTAAATTATACAATTATCACATCTATATGTTTATATATGTGCATTTTATACCTTGATTTTTTAAGGTTTATGAGCATTTTACTCTTTACTTTTTCGAAAGATGTTTTAAATTTTCTGTTACATTAGATATTTTATTAATTTAACAAATAATCAGATATTTTAATTATTTAAAAACCAAAATGAAAACTTTAATTATTTACCTGAGAAACAATCCTATAACGCTTAACTTCGGAATCATCACTCGTCGACAACATCGATCCATGAACATGGCCATGGCTTGCAAGCATGTCATCATCCACATGCGCACCATTCACTTCTTCATCTCCACCATCTCCCACAACTTTCGCCACCGCAGCCGTCTGAGCCCTAACTTGGTACGCCGCCGCCGAAGTCTCAAACAACAGTGTTGCAATGGTGGCTACCATTGCCACAAACCCAGTGAACGGAAAATCCGACCAAGGGTGTTTTTTCAAACACGGTGAAGTCAAGCTCTCAAACGCATGCGGAAGTATATGAATAAAACCGGTAGCCAATATGACACCGGCGGCGAATGCTTTCACCAGAAAGAAACCATCTTTCTCAGGACGTAAAGCCGGAAAAAACTTGCCGGCGAAGGGAAGAGAAATGCCTATACAGCCGGCGGTGAGAATGGAAGCAAGTGCTATCAGTTTGTACCTGAGGGCTTTGCTTTTGTCGCCATTGGTTTCTTCTGGTTCACAAGTGCAATCGGCAAACACTCCGGTGATTATTAGGGTTGATAACAAGAATGCAATAAATACTATTATTTTATGAAATTCCATTTGGTTCAGTTTGGAATGAGTTTTATGAGTATTCTTATTATATATAGAGCGAAAACACTGGTTTATCCTTAGAGAAAATTACGCGAATGGTCCCTGTGGTTGAGGGTAATTTGCGCGTTTGGTCCCTAATTTTTTTTCTTAACTCGGACGGTCCCTAAAATGTAATTTTGTTGCGCGTTTGGTCCCTCCCAGACCTAAAAAGACTATTTTGCCCTTTTTATTCCTTTTTAAATTTTGTTAATTATTTATTTCTTACTTATTTATTAAAAAATTATTATTAAAAAAATCGGGTCCCACCCCTTACCTCCACCCTTCTCACCCATCGTCTCTTAATCATCATTATCGACCGATTTCTTCCAAAAACAATTGGCTACCACCACAACACACTCCTCCATCCCTCATTCCCTATCCTATCGTCGCCGGAAAGCTCCCATCTTCCTTTACCCTCGATCAACACCATCGCCTTCTTCACCCTCGATTGAGAGGAAATGGTGATGGCGGAGCTTAGGGCTCCACCTTGCTGCTCAATCCCTACATCGGAGGTCGTGTCAACGACCTACCACTGCTGCTTGGACCACCGTTGACCTATGGACAAACGTTGGTGGTGTTAGGGTTCCACCACTGCTTCAGATGCTACCCTACGAACCAATCCATTTGTTTCCCTTCCATTTATTTCCTTACCATTCTTGATGTGTATTATGATTGAATCAAACCAAATACGCAGCCCTAAAATCACAGGATTATAGATATGTCTCCTAACTCTCTGTGGTGATTTGGGTATATTAGGATATGAAGCAATTGGTTAATGATTTGTGATTCCTTTTTTCAGCAGGTTAGTGATTCAACTTGAAAACTCGAATTTCAGGTATTAGAATGTACACCCATCATCGATGCTCTTCATCTTCACAAACATCGATCTTTGTCTTCAAGACCAGGGTTGATTTCTAGGATTCATCATGGATTAGATTTCAAGCATTTTGATTTCTGTGGTCATAGTGGGCTTTTGATTTTAATTTCGATTTTGATATCTGGGTTCATATGGAAAAACTCAATTTGTGGGTTTCATCCAGATTGTATCTGCGAGTTTTTCCTGGGGATTTTAGTTTTGGATATGAGTTGTATATTTGATTTTTGTTTGGAAATTGAGTTGTTGCTTTGATTTCAGAGGTATTTCATATTTATGGTCGAGTATTAGGTAGTCTGTGTTGATCTTATGGTGATTTCTTTGATACTTGATATGTGGTCGAAGATAGTGACCGGAGCCGGTGTCGGGAAACAGGATAGTCTTCCTCCATTGGGGGGAAGGAAAGAAGATTAAGTTGGGGTGGGTCCATTCAAAACAATTATTAATAATTTATTTATTTAATAATAGGTGAAGTAATAAAAAAGAATTAACAAAATAAAAATATATCATTAAGGGCAAAATAGACTTTTGAGGTCTGGAAGGGACCAAACGCGCAACAAAATTACATTTTAGGGACCGTTTGAGGGACCAAACGTGCAGATTACCCCAAACCACAGGGACGATTCGCGTAATTTTCTCTTATCCTTATATGGTAAATCCAAGTATTAGCAAAACAAATTATACACGAGATTGACGAGACATAATTAAATGATAAATATATGGTAATTTTATTGATCAAATCATTTCTGTTTTATATGGGATATATTTTAGGGAAAACTTCATTAAATTCATTATGTTTTGGCCATTTAGTTCATTTATGGTTATTATTATTATTATTATTATTATTATTTAAGTACCATAAATTCGACAATTTTATTCATTTTAATATTTTTACCCGGTCAATATGGACCCACTTTCAAAAATTATACTTTTCACCTAGATTTTAAATTTTATTAAAAATTTGGTTTAAATTTTACATTTTTGATCCAGATTTCAAAATTTTTGTGACGAATTCATCCGAATTTAGTTTTTACATCATTTTTTTTCAAAGTTATGTTTTGAATATATTTTGTTTGTTATATAAAATCATATTTATACATCCTTCAGCCCGATGCGCCTTGCATGCTGTAAATGCTTAACCCTACCTAATCCCTTCGTGAGATGATCTGATGGGTTCTCATCTGATGATACCCTCTTTGCCACGAAGAGTCATTCTTCTATTCGATGTTTAATGAAATGGTATTTTCTGTCAATGTGTCTGGATCTCCCATGATCCCTTGGTTCCTTAGCTAAAGCAACCGCACTTTCGCTGTCACAGAAAATTTCCATTGACTCTTTTATAGCTGGTACAACTCCAAGGTCTCCAATGAAGTTCTTTAGCCATATCGCCTCTTTTGCTGCTTCGCTTGCCACTATATACTCTGATTCACAAGTTGAATCAGCTATCGTCTCCTGCTTGGAACTTTTCCAAGTAATTGCTCCTCCATTTAGGATAAAGACCCAGCCTGACTGAGAGCGGAAATTATCCCTATCTGTCTGAAATCTAGCATCGCTATATCCTGCCACTCTCAAGTCATCACTGCCACCAAGGGTAAGGACCCAGTCCTTAGTCCTTCGCAGATACTTGAGAATGTTCTTTACCGCAGTCCAGTGAGCCTTGCCAGGGTTCCCTTGATATATACTGACCATGCTCAAGGCAAAGGCCACATCAGGGCGAGTACAAGTCATAACATACATGATCGAGCCCACAGTGGAAGCATATGGTACATGACTCATCTCAGCTATCTCAGCCTCTGTACTTGGACTCTGAGTCTTACTCAGTTTGGCGTTACTCTGGATCGGTAATTCCCCTTTCTTGGAATTCTGCATGCTGAACCTATTCAGCGCCTTATCCAAGTAGGTACTCTGACTAAGTCCAATTAGTCTCTTACTCCTGTCTCAAAATCCTTATCCCTAGGATATAGGCAGCTTCCCTAAGGTCCTTCATAGCGAAACACTTCCCAAGCCAGGACTTAACCTCCTGCAAGGTTGGGATGTCATTTCCTATGAGTAGTATGTCATCCACATACAACACCAAAAAGCTAACTATACTCCCACTAGACCTAACATATACACATGACTCATCCTCGCTCCTCGAAAAGCCAAACTCTTTAACTTTCTCATCGAAGCAAAGATTCCATCTGCGAGGTGCTTGCTTTAATCCATAAATGGATTTCTCAAGCTTACACACTCTATTAGGGTACTCTGCACTGACAAAACCCTTTGGTTGACTCATGTAAACATCCTCAGCCAACTTTCCATTAAGGAAAGCGGTTTTAACATCCATTTGCCATATTTCATAGTCATGAAATGCAGCAATGGCTAGCATAACCCTAATAGACTTAATCTTTGCTACTGGTGAAAAGGTCTCATCATAATCAACTCCCGGTGTTTGTGAAAAGCCCTTTGCAACCAGTCGTGCATTATAAGTGTGTACATTACCATCCATGTCGGTCTTCTTCTTGAAGATCCATTTGCAACCGACTGTCTTGCGACTTGGCACATTGTCAACCAAGTTCCAAACTTGATTGTCATACATGGACTGTATCTTGCTGTCCATAGCCTCTTTCCATTTAGCAGCCTCAGGGCCTGCCATGGCTTCCGTGTAGCTGTTAGGTTCATCCAGACTTACCAGTGTACTATCACTGATAAGTGTATCACCTTCCGCAGTAATATGGAAACCATAGTAATGCTCAGGTGCATTCCTAACTCTCGTGGAACGCCTCAGAGGTATGGGCTCGTCAGTCGGATCAACAAGAGTTTCCTCTTCAGGTTGATTGCTTGGGTTTGAGGTTCCTTCACCACTTGACTCTTGAATTTCTTCAAGGTCAATTTGCCTCCCACTGTTTCCTTGGCTTATGAATTCTCTCTCTCGAAAGACTCCTCTCCTTGATACAAAGACCACATTATCACTGGGTCTGTAGAAGAGGTAACCAAAGGATCTCTGTGGGTAACCGATGAAAATATATCTCTCACTTCGAGGTTCGAGCTTATCGTGAGTCTCGCGCCTCACGAAAACCTCGCAACCCCAAATCTTGATGTGGTCCAAATTGGGAACTTTCCCAGTCCACATCTCATGAGGTGTTTTGGCAACCTTTTTAGTAGGGACTAGATTCAGGATATGGGTGGCAGTCTCTAAGGCATACCCCAAGAATGAGATTGGTAATGAAGCTCGACTCATCATGGAACGAACCATATCCAACAAGGTTCGATTGCGCCTCTCAGCCACACCATTCAGCTGTGGTGTCCTAGGAGGTGTCAATTATGGACAATACCACATTCCTTAAGATAGTCAAGGAACTCGATACTAAGATACTCTCCTCCCTGATCGGATCGGAGCATCTTGATGTTCCTGCCCAGTTGATTCTCCACTTCCTGCTTAAACTCTTTTAACTTTTCAAAGGTTTCTGACTTATGCTTGATTAAGTAGATAAATCCATATCTACTATAATCATCATTAAAAGTCACATAATAGCAATTAGCATCTCTTGTGGCGGTTTTGAAGGGTCCACACACATCAGTATGTATGAGGTCCAACAAACCCTCACCCCTCTCACAAGTACCAGTGAAGGGTGTCTTTGTCATTTTTCCAAGTAAACAAGACTCGCAACTATCATCCGACTTTAGGTCAAATGATTCCAAAACTCTAGCCTTTTGGAGTTGGCCCATGCGCTTCTTGTTAACATGTCCAAGACGACAATGCCACAAGTATGCTTTGTCTAAACTATTTGACGAATCAATACACAACACATTATTTCCTAGATTATCTACAACATTCACAGCTTCATATATACCATCACAAGGTAGTGCTTTAAAGTAAAATACATCATTGTAATAAACATTAATAGCACCATTATCATTATCAAATGAAAAAGTAAACCCTTGTTTGTACAAGCCATGAAAGGAAATAATATATTTCTCGCCATTTCAGACGAGTAACAACACATATTCAAATCTAACAATAACCCATTATTAAGCAATAAAGAATAAAGTCATATCTTGGTAACAGGTGATGCTTTCCTATTCCCCATGATTAAGTTTATCTTCCCGTGCTCCACTTTCTC